CAAAAAATATCCGTTGAAATATAAATGATTAAATGAGACTCTCAGTGAAATAAAAGCAATATTCAGTGATAGCCATTCATAGCAGAGATTGCTTGATGTAAATTACATCCGGTCATCTTATCAACGGGTGGCTAAGACTTCGTAAAGGAGAGACAGAACTAAGAGGAGCCACTTTACGTTCACTGTGTAGTTAGCGATCATCAATCACCCACGACAGTTTTAAAAGTTGCTTCAATTCCGGAACGCATCAATATAGTGTATTACGTGGTGGAAATTTTCCGAGCACACAAGTGGTTCTCGCACAATGTACGGGAGAAATCAATTATAGTTTTTGTTCCGCATCGTACGTGTTTTTTACTTTCTTGTCCTAAAGCACCGTAAATCGGTTACGGGTTTGAGTTAACTATCGCAACTCACAATTAAACGTTTGCTATAGTGTGGTAAAGAAAAAAAAACAATCATCCCGTCGTCAATAATGTCGCTTTGATTTTTTCTATACTCGTAGCTGCAGCACAATGTCATTTTTTAAGAGTTTTCTTTAACGGTGAGATTCCATTTACTTCGAGGATATCAAAATCTAATTGTAGCAACCACATTCCGCGCTCGAAATACAGCAATAATATATAGCAGGTTCTAACGCGGAATGTAGTGAGTTTGATTGCATTACAAGCGATCAAAAATACAATTTTCACGGTTTAACGCATGCGGTCGAATCGAGCAGTTTGACATCTTTGTACGCGTAATGTCGTCGCCGTAAAGAACTTTTTCAAATCGGGAATAAATTCATTAAAATTTCTTTTGTACGGTCGACGAATCGGTACGATTCGAGGCAATTGTAAAAGGCGATGAATATTTTTTTGATGCCTTTGGCGCGAGTTTTACAAAGGTGTCGACCGATTATGAAGCCGGCGTTTGTCGCTTAAAGAAAGTCATCACAACCGACCGTGAGAGCTTATTTCGTTCCGAAAATTGTTGTTTTTGTTGTGCTCCGTTACGCAACGCGCTTCGATAAATTCATCGACCCGTAGATGCACCTCTTTCATTCCCGAATTGATTTATCAAACCGACAATAACCCAAAAAGCTATCTAACAACTTTTAAGATACATTAAGTATTCAATAGAAAATTATAGTATAACCTCTATACATATAAAGGACTCTTAAGATGGCTAAACCCGAATGTTTCTAATTCTAGTGTTAATTCTAATGCTAGTGTTAGTTCTAGTTTTAATTGTTATTCAGTGCTAGAGATGGTCTAGTGTTAGTTTTAGTTCTTGATTTAACTGTTATTCAGTGCTAAATTGTTGTATATTTTTCATTAAACTAAAACGAGAACTAACACTAGACCTAGAGCTAGATAGTTTCAGGTTTAGCCGTGCGTCTGAAACCCGAAACTTTTGCATAAAAAATTGTTTAACTAATTTTTCTTACATGCTGAATATTTATGGTAGATTTTTCATTATTAAATTAAATTATTCTTTTGCAGAATTGCAAATATGTTCAAAATGATTAAAATTCGGATGATGTTCGTTGAAAAGTGATATAAATGATTGAAAAATAATAATTGGTGTTTCAGTGTCAGTTCTAGATGTTCAAAATTTTTGGAAAATTGTAGCAAAAATCTTACTGAATTGCAAAATTGTTCAAAATGATTCAAATCTGGTTGGTTATCACAGAAAAGTAGTATGATGATTGAAAACTGTTTTCTTATTAATTCAAGTTATTAAAAATCTTTGTAAAATTGTTGCAAAAATTATTACAGAACTGCAAAACTGTTCAAAATGATTGACTTGTCTAAATAATTGAAAACTGTTTCACTGTTAGTCCCAGACGTTCAAAATCTTTAGGAAATTATAGCAAAAATTATTACAGAATAATTTAAAAAATAATTATTATACAAATTATGAATTTCCTAAAATCATCAAAATTGTGCTTGAGTTCAAAAATTATTGTCTCAATAACGAATAAAGATTTTTAAAATTGGTTTTGTTCATGAAAAACTACATAGTTTCCTCTATAAATCCCCTCAATTTCGTCAAGATATCTTAAGAAATTGGTTTTTTACAAATTTTTAAAAACATGTTAAAATTGTATCATCAAAATTCTAGTTACGTTCAAAACTTATTATCTCAAAAACGAATAAAGATTTTTATATGCGGGTTTGTTCATGAAAAACTACATAGTTTCTTCTATAAATACCCACAATTTCATCAAGATATCTGAAGAAGTAGATTTTTCAGAAATTTTTAAAGATGAGGTAAAAAATTTAACGTCAAAATTCTAGTTAAGTTCAAAATTTATTATCTCAAAAACGAATTGGGATTTTTATATGCGGATTTGTTCATGAAAAACTACATAGTTTGCTCTATAAATCCCCACAATATCATCAAGATATCTTAAGAAATCGATTTTTCACAAATTTTTAAAGATGATGTTTTTTAACGTCAAAATTCTAGTTAAGTTTAAAACTTATTATCTCAAAAACGAATAAAGATTTCTATATGCGGGTTTGTTCATGAAAAACTACATAGTTTCCTCTATAAATCCCCACAATTTCATCAAGATATCTTAAGTAAATTTTTCACAAATTTTTAAAACGATTACAAAATTTTATTATCTTCAAAATTTTAGTTAAGTTCAAAACTTATTATCTCAAAAATCAATGGAAATTTTTATATACGGGTTTGTTCTTGAAAAACTACATAGTTTCCTGTATAAATCCCCACAGGTTCATCAAGATATCTTAAGCAATCGATTTTTCACACATTTTTAAAGATAATGACAAAATTTTATTAACTTTAAAATTCTGGTTAAGTTCAAAACTTATTATGTCAAAAACGAATAGATATTTTTATATGAGGGTTTGTTCATGAAAAACTACATACTTTCCTCTAGAAATCACCGCAATTTCACCAAGATATCTTAAGAAGTCGAATTTCACAAATTTTTAAAAATGATGTTAAAATTTTATGGTAAAAATTCTAGTTAGGTTCAAAACTTATTACCTCAAAAACGGATAGAGATTTTTATATGCAGATTTATTCATGAAAAACTACATAGGTTAATCTCTAAGTCCCCACAATTTCATCAAGATAGCTTAAGAAATCGATTTTTCACAGATTTTTAAAAATGATGTTAAAATTTTAACGTCAAACTTCTAGTTAAGTTCAAAACTTATTATCTCAAAAACGAATAGATTTTTTATATGCGGGTTTGTTCATGAAAAACTACATAGCTTAATCTCTAAATCCCCACAATTCCATCAAGATATCTTAAGAAATCGATTTTTCACAAATTTTTAAAAATCATGTTAAAATTTTATCGTCAAAATTCTAATTAAGTTCAAAACTTATTATCTCAAAAACGAATAGATATTTTAATATACGGGTTTGTTCATGAAAAACTACATAGTTTCCTCTATAAATTCCCACAATTTCATCAAGATATCTTAAGAAATCGATTTTTCACAAATTTTTAAAAATGGTGTTAAAATTTTAACGTCAAAATTCTAGTGAAGTTCAAAACTTATTATCTCAAAAGCGAATAGAGATTTTTATATGCGGGTTTGTTCATGAAAGACTACATAGTTTCCTCTATAAATCCCCTCAATTTCATCAAGAGATCTTAAGAAATCGATTTTTCACAAATTTTTAAAATTCATGTTAAAATTTTACCGTCAAAATTCTAATTAAGTTCAAAACTTATTATCTCAAAAACGAATAGAGATTTTTATATACCGGTTTATTCATGAAAAACTACATAGTTTCCTCTATAAATCCCCACAATATCATTAAGATATCTGAAGAAATCGATTTTTCACAAATTTTTAAAACTTATGATCTCAAAAACGAATAGAGATTTTTATATGCGGGTTTGTTCATTGAAAACTACATAGTTTCTTCTATAAATCCCCACAATTTCATCAAGATATCTTAAGAAGTCGATTTTTCACAAATTTTTTTAAAATAATGTTAAAATTTTAACGTCAAAATTCTAGTTAAGTTCAAAACTTATCTCAAAAACGAATAGAGATTTTTATATGCGGGTTTGTTCAGGAAAGACTACATAGTTTCCTCACTGGGACACAAGACACGATATCACTTTAGGCATTGTTGTTATAGATTGGTAGATTAATGTTCACTCACACTGAACACAGCCACAGTAACTATTGTTGGGGATTTTCTTAAACTTAAACTTAACAGCGCTAGGGATTCCCCGCATGTTTCTGTGAATCGTTGTAAACAAGAAACCAACCCGCAATCAAAAAACATCCTGTATTGTGCTTTAAACAAAAAGCTATGTTCGCATATTTAAAAATCACGCAGTCATTATAATTAGTTTATTAAGCATCAAGAAAGAAATCTAGTAAAATGACATAATATGCGAAAATATGCAGTAAAATGCCAATTTATGCAACAATCAAAAAAATTGTAAAAACCAATTTTGAAACAAATATTCTAGAAAATAAAGAAGATGCATTTTGCATAAAATCCGAGTCCTACTTATTAGATATCTCAAAAACGAATTGGAACTTTTATATGCGGGTTTGTTCATGACAAGCTACATAGTTTCCTCTATAAATCCCCAACATTTCATCAAGATATTTTAAGAAGTCAATTTTGCATAAATTTTCAAAAATGATGTTAAGATTTTTTCGTCAAAATTCTAGTTAAGTTCACCTCTTCTAGTTCTAGGTCTAGTATTAGTTCCAACGTTAGTGTTAGTTCTTGTTTTAGTTGTTATGCACCGCTAGATTGTTGTATAACTAATTGAACTAACTAATGCAGAACGCAATGGTGTGGATAGCTGTTCAAATTTGTGTGCATTAAAATTATTCATAAGACTTTTCGGCTATAACGGACATATCCTTCCCCATATTAATCCGTTATATCCATTATAAAATACTTATCTTTATCATTTATCAATTAGATTGTTTAAGAAGTACCATTTGGTACTAACTGACCTAAAAACTTATATTTTTGCAGTTTTGGAAGCACTGGTATACAAATTATCATCTTTTGCGAAGCCCACCCCGTTGAAACTATTCTACATAAATCTCCTTCGGGTCGAAGTGGCGCGTGTATAATTGTCGCTTGGGCAATATGTTATTATGTTATTTTTCACGAAGGCAACGTTGCAGCCGTCCCATGCAAGGGAGCAGCCGAATTTAAAATTATCATGAACGCGGGGGCCGGTGGGGGGCGGTTTTACGGAGCAGTGGTGGAACGACGATGTCGTCGAAGAGAGAAATTTCCGAAACCACGCCACCGCAGTGTCAGAACTGGTTTGGCCCTCTCCGCATTTATCACAGCCACTGTTTCGTGTTTCGCTTGTGGCGCGCCTTAACCGAACCGAAAAGTGTTTTTACCAGGGACATAATTATTAACGATAATACGCCCCGATGCCGGCTGCCGCAGGGATAAGCCGGCGTTCCAAAATCTTTAGTGTCCTTTATAGGACATCGAGCAATTTGGAAGAAATTCACATATCCTACAACCAATTTGCACTTTTCAAAAATATATTTAACACCTTAATAAGTTATTATTAATGTTATCTTCCTGAGTTGCGAAGTTTTGCTAATCTTTGAGATAATTCGTCTTCATCCACGCTTTCTAATTCGCCAATTGATGCTCCGGGTGGTGCAGGAACAAATTCTAATCTGTACTCCAATCCTGCTTCATCGGCTACTTCTCGTATTAAAGCATTAACTTCGTATTCGGGTGTTGAAATCGTTGTACTTCTTCCCATTTCAGATTCAATAACACTGCCTTGGACGTCCATTTCTTCAAACTGTCGATCGAACGTATCCATTAAAGCTGATATTCTCTCTAAATTGTTGGTTTTTATCGCTGTATCCAACGATTTAACTACACCGGACATTGATCGTGATACTTTTCTGGTCATTAAGGCCGATTCTACCCTATTTGCAACCGCATCAACTCTCGCAGACATTCTTAGGAAGTTAACAGCTTGGTTTTTTTGCCGAATAGCGTTCTCTGCGTGTATACGAGCAATATCCATATTACCTTTTTGGATGGCTTTTTTGGTTTTTAATTTCTCCACTTTTTCTTCTTTTTCACACTTTACAGAATTTCTTTGGAGTTGCTTCGCGGCAATTTTTAGATTGTAAAGGTGACTTTCCATGGTCATTGCCATTTTTTAATAAATTTTAAATTTTTTTCAAGAATTTTGACTTTAATTAACCTAATTTTTTTTAAATAATTAGAATTGTCATACTTGATTGGATCAAATTTTATTTTTTTGTGGTAAGTGTTGAATGAATATGATGAATATTGATGGGTTTAGATTAAAGATCGGTTAGTTTGAAATAAAAGTTGTCGGTCACGGTAGTTCACCGTGAAGTTCGAGTGTGTAAAAGGTGAAACCTCGAGAACTAACCTTAGTCGAGCCGAAATCGACACCGTTCAGACCGCGTTTTAAATTATTCGACAGGTGATATCCGATACTAGCAAGATGGATTCGGTTTCTACAAAGGGCTCCCTGCACTTTAATCAAGCCGTTCAGACTTCCGAACGGGGCGTTTTACATAGCATTAATGTCAGCAAGTCAATCGGAAAGGGGTTTATAAGCCGTGCAAATATTTTTAGCGTTATACGCCGGCGTGGGACGGGCCACCAACCACTCTCGAAACCTACTGGACTGATTTCTAGATGCCGCGCGTCTACTCTTGCTTATAAAATTTAATCACGGTATGCACGCTCAAATGAACGTCCTTGGAAACGTGAACACAAGATTAGGTTTGTGTTCCAGTAGCCCACACTCCACACCACTTCTTAGATATACCTACCTAGTAAACCTACACCAATCTATTACATTTTTAACTTTAACGCTTTAAAAATTAACCTCCCACATCCTCCAGTCAATTTATGAAAGATGTGGTTATCTTGCAAACCTTCATCAACAAAATAGAATTATACCAATTTGAAAGTAAACGTTCAACGACGAACACCAAACCCGTTAATTACCGGGTTAGCTTATTCACGACGTCGAGAATCGTTATACCGCGGGTTAGGTTGTGTTCTTCGCGTCGCAGGAAACAAGCGGCCATAGCTCGAGGCTTCGCTCTACGAGACCCACGTACACATTATCTCGATAATAGTGTTGCTGTACAAACATGCCTCAAAAGCGCCGGTTCAACTCGTTATATAGCAAAACTAGGACCGAACGGCTGACGTCTCATTCTCGTCTGTCGTCCGGCCCCGGTCAATCCTGTGGAATCCTGCTTGTCGTTCGTCGTACGGCGGCTGCCGTCTCTTCTTCGCCAACGACGAAGACACAGATGTTGTGCTGATCTCTCAGTAAACTGCACTTCTTTACCTGCTGCTCTCTGTTTCACTTGATTGCCATCCTACAGGATCATTTCTTTCTCTTGTAACTATGGATTGAAGACAATGGAAACATTGGCATGAGCGTCGACCAAAAAATTATCTCGAAATATCAACCATTACTCATTGTTTGACTTCGTTTATGTATATACAAGAAGTGAAACATAAATAAAATTATTACGTGATTTAAGAATAATGGGTTTTGTGGGTATTTGATGCCTGTAACTCTTCCCTTCCTTATTTTAAACAGCAGCACACGATTGTGATCATCTTCCTGAAAGACTTCTCTAGTTACTAGAATATACGAAGTAATAAGATAACGAAATTTAATGTATTTTATACAATTTACCTGAATATCTTTGTCTTTGTGTTTACCAAGTCCCTCGTCTTTTTGTTAGCTCTTCTGCAAGATGATGCAATCTTGTAAATACTTCTAATGCCATTAAAAACACAAAGAAAATGCCAAGAAAATCCTAACATACCCTTATTCGCCATTCTATCTTGAATCTATAAAATCTTGATTTACGAGTATAAGCTTACAAAATTTTGTACATACATGTACTTAGTGAAGTTTAAGTATTGAACCGTTTAACCATCGTGTTCTATCTTGATTCTCATTTTCACTTAGAACATCTTGTTCAGTGACGATACTGATTTTTGCTTGAATGGCTACGTCAACAAAGAAATTTGCCAGATTTGGAAGGAAGACTCATTATTTTGTGTGCTTTATGGTGCTGATGGAGTCAGTGTCCCATGTTTTTTTAATTATAATAATAATATATATCTTTATTGCCCAACAAAGTACTAATTACAGGACAATATTCGACTATACAAAAATATAAACTTACATTAACACAAGAATCAATTAAACACTAACTGAAAACATTGCAATCGTCTCTCAGGTTGACAAGCCTGTAAATTCTCTGTAGCGGAGCGATAGCCTGCACGTTGGTTCTACTATTTTTCAAATTCTGTATAGGCTAACGTGGTACATTGAAGTTGATGTAAGAGAGTAGCTTTACATTAATTTAACGTCGAGATCATCCCTTCGAGTGTCAAGCGAAACGAAATGGTGATGTTGCAACAAAGATTGCCACGAACAAGATAAGCTCCATCCACGCGAAAGGAAAAGTACTTTAAAAACCTTTTTTGAATTCTCTCCAATAGAAGACGTTGCGAGATATAAGGCGGTGTCCATATAACAGAACCACCCTCTAGTTTCTGCGAAACAGGCGCCTGAAAAAGCGATATGTATACTGCAGAATCCGTGAATAACCAAGCATCCTCGAAGCACAAGAAGCAACATCCTCTATGTGCGTTGTAAGCGATAGTCTGCTATCAAAAGTTACTCCACCGTCTCTGACAAAAGTCAACTTAAGCACTTAGATTCCACCTATACAGTAAAAGTGACTTCTCAACATTAATCCTGAGCTGATTACGATCGCACCATTCTACCAAGATATCAAGATATCTTCGACTGCATCGAAGCCACGTCATTTTCCGAAGTCATAGGGCGAAATATCTTAAGATCATCAGCATAAACCAATACACCAGACTTAAATATTATAGCCTTTTATTTCTACATTTTATATTTTGCACTAATACAACAAAAGGAGCAACTCATGCAACTCAAGGCAAAAACGAAAAAATAAAAAAAAAAAAGGAATTCCACAGAAAATAAAAGCAAAACAAAACTTTTACGATTAAATATAATAAATTAGACTGGCATGTTGAGTGCACAAGATATACACCACTAACTCTGCTATATAGCTATATATACTACTACGCGCAACACTGCTATATACAGCAGTGTTACAATTTACAACGCCAGCACGCACGGATTAATTCAAATCAAGTTAAATCCAAAATGGTTGAGAGGTTTGTGCTCTTAATAGTTTGAAGCCAAGCTCTAATTGAAGATTTAAGGCTGGTTGAACCCAATGACAAACCATTTTCAAGTGCATATCTTACTTTATATTTGACTTATACATATATAATAGAGGAACAGATAGCAGTTGTGAATCCTCGTAAACTGCCTCAGTGGGATAATTTTTAGGTATACCTAGCATGGCTTTCACTATCAACTCAAATCTGTTTAATAAATCGTTAATAAATATTACAAACAGTAGTGGACCCAAGTTAGGTCCTGTAGAACACCAGATCGTGCAATAAACTCCACCGAAGCAAAGCCATTATAAAATACATAATTGGCCCACTTTGATAAATATGATGAAACAAGACACATAAGCCCAGGGGAAAAGCCAAACATACTAAGCGTTTGGAGAAGAAGATCGTGATGGATCGCATCAAACGTCTTAGAAGAGTCAGTCTACATCCATTTGACCACCCTTATCCAAGGATTCACATATTGCTTCTGTAACAACCGCAAGATTAGTAACCGTTGAACGGCACTTGAACTGCTTTCTTACGATTGAATTTGCGGATAAATAGCTCCACAGATGATTTGCTCAAACACTTTAGCGAAGTTAGACATTATGGAGATGGGACGATAACCAGCAATGTTGCTACGATCACCACGTTTGAAAACGGGAATTATCCGTGATCGCTTCCAGATTTTAGAAAATTCACCCGTCTTTAGAAATAAGTTCATGATCACGCAAAGTGGAACAGAAAAAAATGCGCTATAATCACGAATAAAAAACGTTGGAAAGATCATCACCAGTCATAAATTTGCTCGGCAACTTCTTAAGAAGATCAAAAATCTGTCCCACAGTGATAATCTTTAAAATGATAGATAGATACATGGAGTGCGAATCAAAGATCTGCCAGTCGTAGTGTTACGGTAATATACCATAGATTATTTTCTATGGGAACATTAGTTCACTTGGTAACCAATATTCGGAGAGTTATTATATTGCTGATTACGACTTTTGCTGCTTAAACAAATGATTCCGAAATGGAAAAAAGTAAGACTAATGTGACACTTAGACGCAAAATTCCTTAATTGATGACAATGTTGGATTGAAACGTTCTTATTTTTTGAATTGATTCAGTTCTTGATGAGGTTACATTGTATAAAACATTCATATCGGGTTGAGATATTTGTGGTTTGGTTATGATGTTTGACTACAACATTCTTAGATTAAGGGTAATGTTAAGTTTTGATATGAAAGTTACTTAACAATTCTGGGTGCGTTGCGATATTCTTTGATTGATGATGAAATTCAATTGGAACATTTATGGGTTGAGCATCAACATCTCAAAACCCAAAGTTTTGAGATTCTGTCCAAAATGATAATCTCTTAGGTCGTCATACTGAATTGAGACATGCTTTGGTTGATGAGATAGTTGCTCAGTTCGGATTAAAGGATAATTTACTTGTAACGTAATATTGGGAATAAAATCCTTGGAATGAAAATCAAATTTCAAAAACATCAAAGGAAGTTGAGGTATTATAGATTTCCAATAATGTTGGATTGGAGCAACCTTAGATTGTATGTAAGATTTTATTGAGACATTCCTGAATGAAGGATGATCCTGTACGACACGAAGATTCTTATAGAACATATGTCATGTTTTGAATAATGATAAGGTTATGCTTTCACTATCTCCAAATCAGAATTTCATAGATTGCGAAATTTTAAAATGCAAAAAAAGCAAATTGCATTCCTAGTACTTTTTAATTATTTATGAGATTGGATTAAGCTATTCATGATGAAAGGAAGAAGAAGAGTTGAACTTCACAAACAATCATAGACTTTCTAATTACACATCAAATAGGATTGAGACATTCTTGTATTAAGGATAGTGTTGGATTGAGACAAATTATTTTCCACAGAAAAAATGAAAGTTACTATGGATAACATCCAGAAAAGCCATTCATTTTCAGCATTTGTGATTG